ACTGCAATAAATTAGAATACTCGTAATAAATTCTATTTAATTTACGAAATCACAAAATCCACTTCAACTCTTGGGAAATTAGAACATCGCGTTTGCATGAACAGTTAAAAATCGCGTGGTAAGACATCTCCATCACGCCATCTACCCTCCGAAAGGAAAATGAAGAGTAGGCAAAGTAAAGTTTTCACATTGGCTCAGCAACGGTAGAACATGGACAGCAAGGGTAATAATCAGCGTCAGACTGCTGGCGAAAATAAGAGAAAAAAGGCATGACTATGTCTAAAGTGTTTCTCCCTAGGAAGTCATCTCCTTGAAGGAGGATATTTGCCCTGTCCTGTCATGCGTGAGTACAAAAAATGAAACTAGCTTAACTGCTGTGTTTAATTTTCATTTTAAGACTTTTCGTAGTTAAAAAGATTATTAGTCTTTAACAAAACTAACTCGAACAGCTGAGTAGTGTTTTTCGCGATATAAAACTCCAAGTGCATACATATGCCAGCAACAACAGCATCATCTGAGTAATGGACTAAGTCTTATGAAAAAAGCCATTGTAACAAATTCAGGTAAGCAACCAGGTGAGCCTAAAAACGCTGAAAAACTAACAGCGGATGCAGAATATTTCCCTTATTTAGTCATGAATACAGAGAATAGTAAAGTTTAACCTGTACGAACAACAGACATAAAAACACAAAGGATTTCTTACCAACGGCCTAGGTACATCGGTCATTGGCAAAACCAGTGCTCGACAGCAAAACTTTAGGAATCACGAAGGAACGCGACAACCCGCATTAGTCGAAGGCGTTAAACCACCTTTATTTCAAGCATACCAGCATTTTCGTAGAAATTAGTCAACCACTGCATTACATGTATCACGCAACTTCTTTAAGCACACGGTGAAATCAGAGAAACACCAATATTAAGACACGAACTATCACACCAACGACAACGCCAAAGATATGAATGAACCAATCACATAATTGATTCTCAGGCAGCACAACCTGCTTATAACAAACTGTTACTGGCTTAGGAAAGAAATTCTACAATGTTCTAATAGGAATGAAAAGAGCAATAAATTTAAAATTTACTATGACTGCCAACTTTCAGACATTAAGTGATATTAGACACGGAACAGTAAGTCAGTACCGGCAAATCATATTTCACAAACGGTATACCATACTTTCAAGTGCCTCAGCAAGCTCAGTCGGGTGGAAATGGTCCCAAGAAAAAGTCAAAAAAAAGAAACACATTGAAACACTTTCAAAGGTCCGTAAGTTATTTCACTTACGTAGATTATCTGAAAATTTTTTAAAATTTTCCTCATGACTACTAAAACTCCGGTCCCAAGCCCGGATGAGAGTCCGGTGTTGTGGCAAGGTATCTCTAGAACTTAGACACCTGGTTCTTATGGTATTGGCATCATCGAACATCACATTCGCAAAATAGTCGCCCAGGCCGCGTGAGCTTTTGAAGGAATGAGGCAAGTTGCGAAAAGTCCACGATCACAACCTGCTCATCACCTTACTGCATTGAGGATTGTGGCAGATCGACAACGGCTGCAAAAAATGGACGAAACGACGGCGAAGATACCAGTCAGAAACAGAGCCGGAAACTATTTTGAACGTAACAAGCAGATAGCGCAATAAAATTACGACATATTAGACAGGATCCACGGGAACGATTGCGAGAGTGGGACCATGCAGCCCTTCAAAATTGGAACATATTCGCAGTCATAGAGAAAGACCAAGAACCACTATTGAAAATATCGCTAGGCATTATAACTCGACATAGTTAAACTCTCGTCAACGAAAGTTCTGGAATTATGAACCACAGTGAGTGGAAGCTATTCTACTCAGATGTAAAAGTGATGAGGCGCGGCTAGACCGATGTTTGTTTTCTGATAGAACCAAACCTGGCTAACCGAATCATTGAATGGAAGTGTGTCAGGGTAGCAGTAGCAATCCTCCGATTGAGGCTGCAACTGGCAAAAGATGTGACTTCGCTACAGGTCAATAAGCGAATCGTGGAGATGAGATGTGAACTCTTCCATGAGGAAGAGTAAGTGTCTATGTAAAAAGTATCAGCAACGGTGATACTCATTGTAGTGGGCAATTTCAATGCACATGACGTAGCGAACACGGAGAGTTTGAGAAGCATGATGGAAAGAACGATCCTAGTGACTTCAAAAATAAAAGAGCAAACTTGCTGAAGTTTTGGACAAACAACGGTCTGACCCGTTATGAAAATCTCCATTGAACATCATACGAGATGACTATGCACGAAAGTCAATGATCTATAAGATTATCGTATCGTCGGACCTACGGCGCTGTACAGTTGATGTTCGCATTAAGACATGTTTGGAGCTGTCAAGCAATTATCACTTGTTACACACCCAGTACTCTGTAAATGATGGAGTACCATGCGAATATCTGACAGCAGAAGCACCAAGAAAATCAAACGAGAAAAATCATCCACTGTTCAACTTATAAGTGGCTAACTCGCGTCTGATGCAGAATGCTGCAGCTTAAGAGGGGTTTGTCTGCCGCCTTGAAGTCGGAAGCAAACTTTCTGGTGGACACGAGCGATGCATCGGGCTGTCGCGGGGAACGCACCTGTAATCAGTAGATGGCTTGGAAGTACAAAGCCTTTAACTCGCATGAGATAGAAAAAAGAGCGAAACGTGGCAGTGGAGACAGTGTAGGTATCACAGAATAACCTATTCTAACATGCAAGAACAGTAGTGTGGCTTTTGTTATTGCCGAGTCACATCTGACCTGAAATTCGCCTTACGCCAGACTGTTGTTACATCGTAGAAGTTCGCCCATTCGGAGTATGTGTGCTTTAACAACCAAGACGCAGCTTAGGACCGAATTCTCGGCAAAATCTATGTGAATGCCTTCGAACATATTGGATCGATGGCCAATTGTTACAGACAATTCAATCACTATAATCTGATACCAGGTGCTGCATGGTGTTAAGTGAAGACCTTTCGGCGTTGGCACAAGTCTCACCCAAGGTTGCGTTCCGCCGTCTCTCCTGTTTCTGCTGTACTTGGATAGAACAATCAAAAGGAGCCAAAGCGATGAGGGTATCAGCGTAGATATCGAGATGAGAAGGTTGCTCTATGCATACGACCTTGTTTTGTTGGCATCTTCTGAAACTGATTCACAGTGCTCCCTGGAAAGGTTCGCAGCCGAGTGCGACGTGCCGGTATGCGTGTGAGAGTGTCAACAATGAAGGACCTAGTGCTGTCTCGTTCTCCTGACCATTGCTCTATCCAGATTAACGGAGAGGCAGTGGAGCAGGTACAGAAGTTCAAGTACCTTGGAATCGTGTTCACCAGTAATGGAAACTTTGAGCAAGAGAGCTTTCGGCGAATAGGAGTAGCCAGTGACGTTCTGCGTGAACTAGCCCGACTCATTGTGACTAAAGCAGAGCTCAGTCTGAAAACAAAGTTCTCGGTGTTCAATTCGATTTTTATTCCCCATACTTATCTACGGCCATGGGCCGTGGGCCATCAGTGAAAAACTTCGAACCCGGGTACAAGGTGCCGAAATGTGCAACTGTTTCTTGCGAAACCGACCGACAGAAGGCACAGGATACGGCTAAGGTAAACCTGGCACAAATATGTGGAAGGAGCCTGTTCCAGACTCTAGTTGTGTTCTGCCAAAGCTCAGACTGTGACATAGGATCGGGAACGTTGGAAGCTCTGCCTGGCGCGTCTGGATCCATGACCCGAAAGGAGAAGCAGCGATGGAAGATGAAGATATATGTCCATCAGAAAAGATGGAAACATAGCCGCGTATCTCGCTCACTTCACCATGACCATGCCAAAGAACCGTTTTCTTCCTATTATTCGCAAGTAAAAGAAATGCTGACCATTTTTTGATGGAAGGAAAGTAGTTGAATTCCTTGTTGAAGGGATGTAGAAGTTAATAAGAAAAATTTTCCAACATGCAACGGGTACTTTCCGCTTACTCGCACGAACGCACCGCAATATTAACCAGTTGTACCATTCTCTGGCTGGTCATCAATTTGCAATTTCGGCAGCATTGCCGAATAAGAAAAAACTGGTATCAAATATAGATGCCATGAAAAACCTGAAAACTAACTAAAATGTGCCATTTACGTGAGAGTAGCGGGTTGACTTAACCGAGTACATCCAAAAGCATTATGAATCTGACATATTGTGGTATCTTTCAGAATTAACGGTTTTTCATCGAGCCATAACGAATTAGAGCAAAATATCAGAATTTTATATATCAGCAATATCTATCTATCAGCATATATCTGCAATATTAAATACAGATGATTAGCGAAATAACAGTAGGTACGGCAATGAAAGAAGAATAGGATTAACGCTGCAGCTTCTGCAGGATTTGAAATCAGCATACGAAGTTATCCTTTTCCTTCCGAATGAAATTCATTAGTTTCACTGGATCTTGCTCGTTCGCGTGCGACTTCAACGTTTCTTGCCTAAAAAGAAATAGTATTCTAGCAACAGCGAAAAAGATGCGGAACATATACATTACTAAGCCGATAAAGCGTTACCTAGTGTCAAAAGCAAGTAGCACCTTTCAAAAAGTGTACTAGCTTAAACGTGATTCGCTTATTCATAAAAATATATTTTCAGAATAAAATAATGTAACCAAATAAATCATTATATCGTACTACTGGTTTGACAATTTCCATAATCAGCTCACACGAAAACATTATCAATTAGAAGCAGCCTGAATAAAAACTATAAGCATTATGGAACCTATCTGTGAGACAGTTGTGCAGTCAAGTCATACATCCTGTTATTCAGCAAATACGCAAATAATGGCGACGCTGATTATTTATTGTCAAGCTCAAGGTGAGACACTAAGAAGGTTTATAATACTTTAAAACACGAAAGGAATTAGCAGATGCTGTCATCAGAAAGGCAGCTTACTC